ACACAAAACATACACACAAACACAAGGTCTATTGTTTGTTTTTTTTTCACAAAATTATTTTCATCTTGCAAAACTATTTTTTTTTCATCCAACATCGCGGACCACACACATCGGACAACTTTTTAAAATTATTTCAAACATACTTTTGTAGAAAATGGTCTTTTATCTTCTCATTTGGAAGGATATACACAGTTTTATTTATTTTCATATTAAACTTCTATCTAAACAGTTCTGGAGTAGGTGGTTTCATGTTTTTGTTGCTTTCATTTGTTTTTATTAGTAAAAATGGCAGATCTGGTGGGACAACATGGCGGTCACTAGAAAAATTAAACAATCTGAAAGGCATCAAAAAGGGGCCGGATTATACACAGACTACCGTTTGCTAGGAATACAGTCATTTGTTTAATTATTATTCTTGGCACTTAAAGCAGCAATGTTACCACCATTTTTCATATCTAGGTCGACTAAAAAAAAAAAAAAAGTAGTTCTTTATGGTTTTTGTCTTTTCTTATAAAAATGAAGCGACAGGAGACACATATCAGAGGTATTTCTCATGATCTAAAAACTTGTACTTTATGTGTGAGCCTCAGGAAACAGACCCCTCGTACAGCACGTCTTGTTTCAACATTGACCTGAGGACTACTGGATATTGTTCTTGTCTGTGCTCAGACGACAGGGTTGTGCACCAGATTAATTTTACTTCCACTCTAAGTAAACTTTAACTGCAGAAGACACGACCAGAAGGTCTGTGCGCTATCGCTCCTGAAAAATCGGTGCACATGCTCCACAAGCGCGTCTTTCGACATTGTTTCCGTGATCCTACGCCGCTGGCAAAGCACTTCATCAGAAATGTCTCCATCAATTAATAAATTAACCGTGATGCACAGCCCTCAAAAATAAATAAGAAATTAACGTGATGCTTCTAACTAGCTTGTTCATATTTTGGAATTACAAATACATCCTACCAATGATCCTACAATACTGTCCTGTATATTACTTTATAAATTATCAATATTATTAATATTAATATTATTAAATATATCCCTCAATTTCATTGTGTTATGCTGAGGAGAAAACAATAATAATTTTCCCTTTACATGAGTTTCTGAAATGAGCATTTATCTATCACTAAAACTTATCGTCCTTTATAAAAAAATGACTGCCAATACTTACTTAATTACTTACTTACTATGATCAGTTCTTGGGCACAATCACAAATATTCTAAAATAAGTAATAATAAATAGCATGATACCAGTCACTAGAATACACGAGGGTAAAAAAAAATCAGGGGGGACAGAGAAACAGAAACATTTGGATATTTACAATCATTATAAATTATCAGTTTCTTGTTTGAAATATAGTATTGTCAAAATACTAAGTCTTTTTCCCCCAATAGATTTACGCTACTAACAATGATTACTTTCACTCATTTCAAAAAAATAGTTCATATATTTTTGGTATTGTGAGTCATGATAATGAAGGGGCAGTAATATGACATGTTTAATTATTCCGAAGTAAAAGAGGGGAATTCTCACTCCAAAGAAGATGAAGAACATATGGAACCCTCTTTCACCCCCCGTATTTCATTCATTTAAAAACTGCTTGTGACCACTGAAAAGAAATAGCACACGTTTGGAAGTACAGTACATTCCAGAACTTCCACCCATACAGTTACCAACTTATAAAAAAAAAAAAGTCCTGAAATAAATATAAATACCTACGATCGTAATAAAAATGCACACGAATGTTTTGTCATTATACAGTATCAGGGCGCAACGTTTGTGCCCCAAGAATGCAGATATATGTACACAATGTAATATGGGGGGGTGGGGGTGGGGGGGATATAAAAAATCAGCAAGAGTCGCACAAACTCCGACACAAAGCTCCGTGCAGACCAGCTCATCAGAATGCTGCGCACATTACTGCATTCATGTTCAGTATCAAACATCTGAGCGATGCGTTTTCAATTGTCTGTGTGACTGGCTTTGATGCAGACGGCCACTGTGATGTCTGCACACTTGAGCCCACCTCTTCAGCTTTATGTACAGTTAACACTTGAGAGATTACAACTTTGGAAACGGTCATACGTGGTTATTATTTTGGTTCGAGTGAAAAAGGAATTCAGTCAACGTGGTTTTGAGGCTTCGGGCCCGAGATGCCACGGCCCGTCGATCCTTCGAGTACTTTCAGTTGGTATGGGGCAGCTGCAACCGAGCGGAAATTAAGATACCATTCATCTTAATTCCAGACGCCCTGATTCATCATCGAAACGAGTTACTATTTTCTACACTCTCACATTTCACTCGAACCAAAAGAAGGGAAAATTGTGCCTCAAAGTGATATAAAAAGTGCAGTCAAAACACGAAATAAAAATACAGAGGTGAGATCTGTGAGTCTTAGCAACTTAATATTTAATTATATCTATAAAAATGTTCAGTAAAAAATTACCTGGGAAATTGGACTAGCTACGTATTTGGTGAAAGACTGTAAGAACGTGGTGTACGATGAAGCAGATGTCATGGGGACAAGAAGCTAAAGCAAAGAATGGTAAAAGATTAAAAGACTGTAAGGTCACTTGAAGAACTGTGATGTTGCTAACATAACACTGAGATGGTACCAAAATGGTGGGCTATTACAAATGGCAAGACACTCTAATATGCACAGTACGTGAACATCAACGTCCTGAGCAGCGTCTGAAGTGAGGGAACTAAAATAATCATTAGCGTACGTGAGGAATTGAGTCGAGATCATATGACCACAACGTAACATCCTGTGTTTGCATTGTACTCAGAAAATACAAAGATGGCGAGAGGATGACAAAATGCAACGCAGCTCACTGCTGATCTGCTGGAAAGTTCTGTAATCCTTAAATAGAAAAACAGACCAAAAACCTCTGACAAAACATCGTCTATTCACATGAGATCCGAGGTCCTCGTGGCCGTGAAGATGTCAATGTTGTCTTTGTGGTTTGTCACGCAACGTGGTAGGTAAATACAGCGCTGCGTTCCTCCACAGCGTTCATATTTACCCTCAACATCATGCACCACTACAACCAAGAAAACCAACATCAACTCTTACTTCACTCAACTTCCTTTAGAAAATGGTATTGTGCTTCCAAGACGATAAGGAGGTTAAACTTAGCGAACAGCAAAAAGACAAGCCTCGAGGAATGCTTGTACTTGAACAAGAAATTAAGAATGTTAATCCTCTCGACTCCCAATCCTTCCACCACATTTTGTACTGGGCGACATTTACTACAATTTAGTTCAATTTCATCTACACTGTTACGAGACGACGCAAATTAACTTTTAGGCATCTCATTAAAGACGCACCTCACCGAAAAGCGTTTCAAAAGATCTTGAACTGGTATACGTTATTTGCCATGTACACATTTACTGTAAAAAAAAGGTCTTTTAAGATTAACACACACATTAAGACTAGATTTATGTAGCGGCATTCACTATACCCTTGGTGCACCTTGTCATGTGAACTGTATTTAACACTAATGCTATTAATCCTTCAGGGGAACGCAACCTTAAAAAATTCTCATCATCCTATATTTCAGCTTACTGCTCATAACCTGACACTGTAATAGTTTGCAATTGTGTGAAAAGTTTCTGATATGCAGGCTAGCCAACTTCAAAGTTTGGAAGAACAGATTCAGTCAGGAGGGAGATGACAAGTGAGATTTGGCAGGTATGAACGTGCGCAGCAAAACAGTTTTAAGAGAAATCCAAAGCAGAACGGACGCAATGAAAGTCAAATATTACTGCTCGGGGGAAAAAACAACAAGGGCATATGTTTGCGATATAAATGAGAAATGGTAACAATGGTAACGCTAGTGACGGACTAGAAACAGGAATACTTGTCTGCGGGTACATGTTAACACGTGCGACAGAAAACGGTGAACGACAAGAGTACCGGTGCCTGGTCCAGGTCTCTGTAAGGAATGTGTCAGTGTTCAGCAAATACCTACTTCTGCCTTTCCGACGTTTTCCACCTCAGTGCTCCCATTACCCCGTGTTGGTACCATCTCCAAGTTGGGCGAAATGTGCGTCAGCACGAATGCGTACTCAGCATCTGCTGTTGTCAGAGAATCAAACCATTTGAGACCCAGGTACGTCATACCAATTCTGAACA